ACTCTGGGACTAAAGTTCTCCAAAGAATTTTAAATTGACAAGATGGATGTGATCGACGCGCTGTACAATAAGGATAGACAATGAAAGCTTTGTAAGAGGGCAACTGATTTGGATCTGCGCTCAGTAAATGTAAATGGGCTGGCATCAGCCAAGTATCCTAAACGGCGTGCGATTATGGAACAACTTAGAGGGGTAGAAAGGAAAGACTGGCCTGATGTGGTATATTCGTAGGAAACACACCTCTCAAATAGCCCGGAACACAACCACGTGCATAAGGAAATTTGGCCATATCAAGCATTTTGGGCCCATGCCCCAAAACCGGGCAGTGGAGGTGTGGCTATATGGCTACCCCCTGGTTCTAGGGTGGGACCGCTTAATTGGGAAGCAAACCAGGAGGGAGGGAGGTGGGTGTACACGCTCGCAATGCCGAAAATAGAGGTGGTCGTCATATTAAATGTCTATGGGTCCAACATTCCTGGAGAACGTCAAGCCTTCTTCGAGTCACTGCAAACGAAACTGCCAGTAGGCATCCCGGTGATTCTGGCAGGAGACTTCAATGCTGAGCCCGATCGATGGATGGATAAATGAAAAATCTCATCGCCTTGTCCGGTCTATATAGAAAACGATGAGAAAATCATCGCAGACCTGATCCAATCCCTCAACTTGGTAGACACGTTCAAACAGGCTTTTCCCGCCCGACGCAAGTTCACTTGCTTTCGTCATAATCAAACAGAAAGAATATCCAAGTAACGTATAGATCTGATCTTAATCTCAAAAGAGTTGTAAGGGGCCCTGCAAATGGCAGAAATATTCCCGCGTAAACCCCATCCTGGTCTGGACCATGCAATGTGTCTGGCTATCATCTCCTTTAGGAAGAAGTCAAACCACGGTAGGGGATTCTACAAACTCAACACTGCATTATTGACAATGGACTGTTTCAAACTTCACTTGAAAGAAGTCTGGTCGCTGCGTAGCATGGCGAACGTGTTCGCGCGAACAGCTCACAAACATGTTCGGGTGAACATGATTTTTTTTCGTAAAAAAAAAAAATAAATAAAACAAAATTGGTTTTTGATTTTTAACTCATGATTGGCTACGAATTTGAACATGACTCCAAGGCAAAAGTTGCTTGTATTGTTATTTTACATAACATATATTTTTTTCAGATTTTTCTGATAACTTCTTTTTTTAAAAATATTTTTTATGTTCGCGTTCGGAGGGTTTTTGGCGCTTGTTCATGTTCGGGCGAACATGTTCGGATTCGCCTCCGAACGAGAACACAATGCTACGTAGTCTGGTCGTTTTGGCGCAGGCAAGAGGACCCGCTTCAGGACGATATATTGTGGTTCAACAATGACCTTGCATTCCTGGGCCGCAAGTGCAATGAATATTCAAAGCGCCTCGCGGCACAACGCCACGCAGAAGAGGTGGACCTACAACACCGCTTGCAACAGCTATCCTCTAAACAAAAAAAACTCAGAAAATACAAACGTATGAATCCCGGATCATTGGATACATGAAATATTGATGGCAAGGTATCAGGATCAGGGGGAAGTTACGCATGCACAATATGAAAGGTGCAATGGACACAATTTTTCGCAATGGCCAGAACAAAAATCGAACACTCAACGACAGAGACCTTGGAAGATCCAAACATCCACCAGGGACCGCTTTTTTCGTCCACACCAACGTACACAAAAATAGCAAGAGATTTCTACCAAAACCTCTTCACATCGGAGTGCGGGAACCAACCAGTAGCACAAGGACTTGAAGCAATCAAAAAAAAATTGAACCCCCTCACCAAAACACTGATTGACCAGCAAAAAAAATTCTTGGAAAAACCTTTATCTAAAGAAGAAATATGGACGGCTCTGATGCTCATGGAGGAGGAGAAAACCCCAGGCATAGATGGATTACCCAAAGAATTATGGGAGACAATGTGGGATGACATCGCACAGGACTTCATGAATTTCTATCAGGCGGTGTGAAAAACGGGCCAAGTGGGGGGGTTTATGAGCCAGGAGTTTTTAACACTTTTGTACAAGAAATGACCTAAAACGAATATAAGGAATTATAGACCAATCACACTTCTCACAGTGGTCTATAAAATGGTGGCCAAAGCGCTCGCAAGTAGGATGACCAAGGTAATGGAACATATCATTCACCCAGACCAAACAAGATTTATAAAAGGTAGGAACATCGAAGACAATATTCTCCTCGTCAACGAGGTGATTAAGCTGGCAAGACAATCTAAAAAGAATGTCACAATCATCTTTATTGACTTTGAGAAAGCCTATGACCACGTGGACTGGATGTTCTTAGAGAAATACCTGAAAAAGTTGAATTTTGGACCAGAATTCAGAAGATGGGTGGAAATCCTACACGAAAATGCAACAACCAAGGTCATGGTAAATGACAACCTGGCGTCACCCTTTGACCTACAGAGATCTGTTAGACAAAGCGATCCGCTGACTCCGTTCTTATTTGTCATAATCATGGACGCACTGACAGCAAACTTGAGAACCCACAAGGATATCAAGCGGATTCAAATAACCCCAATCCCGGAAGAAGCCATTCCGGTTTGCTCAATGTTCGCTGATGACCTGACCCTGGATGCAACTCGCGAATCTATGATGGAGGTCGAGAAGTTGATGGAGAGGTTTTGTGCTTTATCCGATATGAGAGTTAATTGGGGGAACAAGACTCTTGGTTGGTGGATCCACCACCAAGGCGTAAGACCCCCGGAACAACCAAAAATCAGTTGGGTCCCCTAAGGAGCCCCTATTCATGTGCTGGGAGTTTCCTTGACGGCAAATGGCAGACCACCAGCCAACAATGATTGGATCTCAAAACCCCCATTAAAAAAGTTAGCACTATGGAAAGACAAGCACACCTCACTAATTGGCAGGTCCCTCGTAATCAACAGCGTCGTGCTTGCATCCCTTTGGTTTAGGTCAACCATCTGGGGGCTGGTCAAGGACGCTCAACGCCCCCTCCAACGACAAATATCGACATTTTTATGGCGTGGCGACCATGAAAAACACAATGTGATAAACTAGGTTGCATGACAATCATTAATTCAGCCCAAGGTAAGAGGAGGGCTTTGAATAATCAACCTAGCATCACAAACCAAGACATTGGTTATTCAATGGCTTAAACGCCTACTCTTCAGTCCTCAAATCCCATGGAAGGATTTGGCCCTAGAGCAAATCGCAAGACTGGCCCCAGAGACACCAGCCCATATCAACCCGCTCACATGGTTAGAGAACAGAGAATGACCAATTCCAAGGCAATGTTCAAAACAAGCTCCCCTAAAGGCTAACACACCAAGGCAAGAAGTGAGGTTAGATCTTAGTAACGACCCGTTCTGGCCGACCCTCCTAAGGATATGGAGGAAGCTTCCTCTACCGACCAAGCCTCAACCAGAGAGGTGGGAAGAGGTGGCTCGACAACCTCTATTTGGGAACAGAGGGATAGTAAACTCTAGGGGTCAGATCTTACTTTGCGGACTCTCCCTGGAAAGGTTGGGTGAAAAAGGGGGTTCTGAAAATAAGGGATATTTGGGATGAAGACAGAAAAGATTGGATCAACCAGGACAAAGTTAAAAAGAAATTGCGGTCATGTCATAGATCTGAGGAAGCTTTGGAAAACATAATAGAGTGCATCCCTCTAAAATGGTGGAAAATCCTCAAAAAAGGTCCCTCGTTGCAAGAGTCTGACTGGGTCACAATTCGGGACAGCTAGGGGATGGTTGGCAACGTGGTATGTTGCAACCCGAAAAGACCACTGGTGGTAGACGTATTCACAATAGGGAGAGACAACTCCTTGCAAAGAGCGAACCCAAAGCAAATACGGCTTCTAAAGGAAGAAGAGCTCTCGAGAATCAGGGTCCTGCGAGTGAAAGACAGTTGGATGGCATTCCTCCCGGACATCCCGATCACCCAACTACCTTTGGATCCTTTAGAATGGGTATGGACATCCACATCCAACAGAAACAAGATATGTACTAGAACCTTAGCTAACATAACAGTCAAAGCAACGTACAAACTGTTTCGGCCAAAAATCAACCTAAGGGATCAGGTGGAAACAAGATGGATGAAACACCTGAACATAAGCAAGGAGTCACTGAGAAAAGTGAAATGGTTTCAACTGACCAAAAAGAAACCGGCGTCGTTCGCCTCCCTCCAATGGCAAGTAGAACAGCGATGCTTGCCCACCAATAATTGGCTGATAGACAGGACAACACTCGAACAGAGGGGGCTAACCCTTCCTTGGTGCAGGCTCTGCACATACGCTTTCCCATCCAAGAAAATACCGGAAACAATAGAACACATCTTTCTGCAATGTCCTGGAGTAGTCTGGCTCTGGCGATGGTGGGATAGGGTATGGGGTCAGCTCGAAACAGGAGCTCCCTGGCCATGGGATTGGAGAGCCCTGTTATTTGAGATATGGCCTGCAGAACGGCCTGACGACTTCACCCTCAACTTGTTTCAACTGGGTCGAAGAGCAATACTATGGGCATTGTGGAGACGCCGCTGCACCTATGAGATGGAAGGTGTGAGGTTGGAAGGACCGAAATTTACAGAAAACATACAGCAACAAATTCACACGAACTTAACAACACAATGGGAAGAAGTCCAAGCACAAATATGCCACTTGCACACGCAAAGGGAGATCAAGCAAAAAATACAAGAATTTAGCAAAAGCTGGCTTGGGGGGGAATCGGGGGGGAGGATAGGAAGGGTGGAATGGAATGGGGAAGGAAGAGAGCAAAGGAGGGGGCAGGGCACCAAGTACCGACTCATTCTCCATGACTGGACCAAGCTGGACAGCTCAATTCCAATGCGGCATAGTGATGAATTCCCGGAATTTTCCCCCCCCGGCAAATTGCCTAGTAGGACTGGACTGGTATGGGGGAGAAAGATGGGAGGGAACAGGGACATAATGTATGAAGTTCAGAGGGCAGGTCGACAAAGTACAGTTCACTGTTTTTTGGTACTTATGTCAGCTGCAGTTTACTGTTTTTGTTTGGTACTCATTTCAGCTTCAGTTCACTGTTTGGGGAGGGAGGAACTAGTTTGCAGCGGTTGGTATCTGGAGCCCATTTCAGGGCGAAGAGGTTCTCTCCCCTATCCCCAGATCCTGCTCAGTCAATCCTCTGGATGTCCAGGGTAATCAATGCTGGCAGGAATCTCTTACTCGCTTTCCTGATGTATTCTAAGTTCATGCTGTATAAGGGATGCTGGACCCGTTTTCCAGCAGATGATGCTCCCCACTAATAGATGGAGCCTCTCCCCCGGTGCTAGTGGTGTCTGCTCGTACCAGCATCACTAACACTGGAGGGGATGTCAAAAAAAAAAAAAAAACTCTTAACCTGTGCACCAAAAAAACAAAACAAAACATATTAACCTTTGCATGTCACCATTCTAACCGCTGAGAGACCGCTCTTGGAAGACGTGCACTCAACCTTCCGCCTGAATAGATGGTAAGAAAAGTTGAAAAGTCGCCAGGCAAAGTAATTGAAAAAGCATGACCAAGCCACTTCATCTAAAGGGTGTGGTATCTCACACTGGCAATTTCTTGAATGTATCTGACCACAATTACACCCAGACCTGGATGAATCTGACCACAATCACGTCCAGAGCTTAGTTGAAAAAAAGTCCTAGTGTGAGTATTGCCCTAATCGTTAGCCGAGTCTGTACATATCTGACGAAGATCCAACAGAAAAGCAGGCACACCGCACAAGAAATTTGAACTTCCATGGCTTGAGATTTAAATTTCATTCCTTTTTCTCTCGCAAGAGTCGCAACCTTTTTGGCTCCCTTCAGCTTATTCTTCATCTACCAAGATTCATGGGGCTCCACAATTGGGCTTGTATCAGCCAGGTACAACGAAGGATTGCTGTTCCTTGCCCTCTGTGCAATGTGTGCAGTTTCACCTGTTCTCGCATCCTTCCGTCGCCTTTGGCAAGAGTCGCAAGACGTGTGCAAATTAGTGCTGCCGTCTGGAAGAAGACCGTTCGGCGTGAGGGGTAACTAACCCATCGTCCCGCTGTACTTTGAAATCATTTGCTGCTTGAAACGCCCGCTGAACCCATGATTGAGGGAGTTGCTGTGCCAAGTCGTCACGTTGAACTGCAGCAGATGCCTCGCCACCCCTGGCCGCAAGCTCATAGAAAATGAATGACCGCACTGGATCGTGATCCTGCAAAAAAATTGCCGAGACGCATGCGGTTGCATTAACAAAATTATCTTTCCCCAAATACAATAAATGGATTGTTACAAAAAATATGGCTGTGTATCTTCCCATGTTCATGCGGAAGGTTCATTCTCAATTTGCACATTTGGTGAGCTCGGCTCCCTCCACTACAAGTGTCAGGAAATCCGTTGAAACTTGAAACGGTCCTAGCACGTGTAGTGGAGGGGGCAACATGAGAATGAGGGCGAGGCTGCACTACTCTCTGAACGTGCAAAATGAGAATGAATCTTCCGCTGGAACATGGAAAGATACATCGTCATATTTTTTTTCTTTCGTGCATGTGGAGAGTTGTGGAGCGACACTAGCACTGGAGGGGGTGTTTGAAAACAAAACAAAAAAAAAGAGAGAGAGTTGTGGAGTGAGGCCCTGAATGTCATGTATCCCCCTCGCTCACACAGTGTCACACACACACACAAAAAAAAAAAACAAAAAAAACACGGTGCAAAGTGCACAGCCTAATGCACCAACGCATCTCGGTGCACATGGTGCGTGTGCGCGTGCACATGCGGATGCGGTGTTCCTAAGGGGATCCCGCAAAGACTGTTTCTTCAGAGCCTACAGTATTTCGTTCAAACAGGAAGTCACTTCAAATAGAACGCATTATTTTCGGAAAAAAGCATATGCTTTGTATTTGAGCACAGAACCCTTAATATTCCACGTAAATGACTTGCTGCAGGTCACTAGTGAAATGGAAAAAAACGGCACAGCTCCTTACACAGTGGGAGAGGCAGACAGAAGAATACAGGCTCCCAGTGTTTCCACATGTACACATGCACCCATCCATCTCTCCGTCCCTCCATTTGTTCGCCCTTAATCCAGCTCTCTCTCTCTCTCTCTCTCTCTCTCTCTCTCTCTCTCTCTCTCTCTCTCTCTCTCTCTCTCTCTCTCCCCCCTTGACTGCCTCCCTACGGTGAGGGGCGGAGGAGATCACAGTCTCGCGCCATCGCCGATCAAGGTGACCAGGGGAAGGGGGCTTCAAGTGCGAGGCACCCTGCCGAAAGGGGAACCAGGGGCTCCAGAGATGGCGAATCACACGTGCACGAGCCCAGGAGAGGCAGCAACAGTGCGCACGTGAGAAAGGGATTCGCGAAGTGGACTTCGAGCGTGAAGATACTGGCAGTGGGGACGACGACCTGCAGTCAGCGTGACGACAAGGGATTTGCGAGTGGACTTCGAGCGTGAAGAACTGGCAGCAGAGACGACGACCTACAGACAGCATGACGACTATTTCGACAGGCACGGGTGTTGGCGCGAGGCGTAAGGATCGAGGAAATCGCGATACAGAAGCGCCGAGGCAGGGCAGAGACATCCCGGGAGAGCCGGATCATCGAGGTGAGTTCATAAAAAGGGAGGGGTTAAGAGGGTGTGGTGTCAGTTTTGGTGAAGAGGAGCGCACGGGGGAAGGATAGTGAGGCAGCGACAACGACAAGGTGAGGTTTACGTCGGAAAGAGGGTAAGGGCATCGCCGGCAGACTAGGTATGATGCGGGGTAATGGGGGATAGAGAAGGAAGGAAGGGAAAGAAGGGAGGAAAGGTAGACAGGCAAGACGGGTGTATGAAGAAGGGCCAGGGGTAGGTAAGCAAATCAGGTCAGATGAGGTGATTCGGGGAAACGGGGGACAGGACGAGAAAGGGGAGGGAGGGAAGGGAGGAAAGGTAAGTGGGGAAACTTGTGTGATGTGAAGAGGAAGCTAGGGGAAGGAATGATCGAGGGAGCGCCTGCAAAGCACGTATGACAAGGAGAGTTGGGTAGAGGCGGGGGAGAGAGGCAAGAGAAGGGAGAGGAATGGTATGGTCGACTCAAGATCCATAACAAGGCACGAAAGGGAGGTGAGAAGAGACGGAGGCACGGTCCCTGCCCTATCACACCCCCAACCAGACTTTGGAATTGCTGAAACTGAATTGATAGAGTGAACAAATGATACGGACGATCAAGACAAAGTAAAATTAAAAAACAAAAAAACAAAAACGAAGAACAAAAGGAAATAACAAACAAGAAACAAATAAAAAAATACGAAAACACCCAAAGCAAAGAGCAATAAAAGCAGCTAAACGCCATTTCAGATCGAATTGTCAAATCAGCACGAGGCCCACAAACAGATTGCAACGTGCACACAAACAATTAAGACTCGATGCTTTTCTATAGCGGGGCAATGAGACAACTGGCAGATGAACACATCCGGCATAAACGATGGTCCCAACAGAATTCTGCCCCACCCCCAAAGACATTCGTCCCCCGGCCCCCATCACAGAAGGACACTAGCACGAGTCACAACATGCAGCAGACGGAGGACACAGGGGTCCTGACGGAGGAGGAGGAGGAGAAGGAGATGGAACTACAAAAGAAAACTCCCCTCTCCGTCCAGGGGATAAGCGATAGCCAGCCACAACTCACCTGGGCAGACAAACTCAGAAACTCGCACCAGGTCTTTCCCTGACCATCCAGCGGGGCCAGGGTAGTCCACGACTGGGAAACTGGAGATCCCCCCGGATGGGCTACCACCAACAAGAGCCTTTCCATGACTAAATTCCTGGTTCCGTCGAAAACAAGGGTCGTATCCCAAGGAGGCAAGCAAGTCATGGTGAAGACTTACCCCACGAGTGGCATGGCATGTAGGGACGAGGTCTACACGAATCACGCCAGTAATTGGGTGTTTCATGATGATGCTGCTTTTAAATCAGTCAACGATAAAGTCAAGTGGATCGGCCGTCGGCTCAAAGTTCTGAAATACAGCGCCCACCTGGGCCGAGATCAATTTCTGATCCAACCAGCTTCCAACACTTTGGTCACGGTCTTGTGCATGCATGAATCCGATAAGAAGGTGATGGACAGATGGCAGCGCCTTCGCTGCGAACGTTTGGAGGTCCGGATCTACCCGTGGGTACCTCAGCGCAGGATGGGGCCAGAGGAGAGGAGTACACAGTTGATGTAGGATTTCTTCTGGGTGGAATTCCGTCATATCCCAATTGAAATTCAGGCTGCATTTGTCTATGACTTTGGACTGCAGTATGACATCGTGGCTTTCATAGACCCCCAACCCTCCTCTGTGGCCAAGAGGGACAACTACCTAATGTTGGCCTTGGATTTTCCTCAGGGTCAACCATTCTCTCTCGATGATGTGATACCGTACCGGGTGGGAAAGAAGACATGATCCATACTGCACACAAACTGAGACCATGGTGCCACAACTACAGAGCATACAGCCACTTGAGAACTGAATACGCCTGCCCGCTCCACCCATAGAAAAGGGTGAGGACAACAGGGAGATTGTTGAGGGACCCGATTAAGGTCACCCATTGGAGAGCAGTGGACCCGGGACATGAAGGTTGGGTCTACGTAGAGGACCGCACGAAGGAAGGCACCTCAATCGGTGGGTATGGGAAAGAACTGGGGAACCGGACTGGGGAACACGTCCCCCAAACGCATGGACTCCCCCGTCTTCGGTGGAGGAGAAAGAGCAGGAAGAAACAAGTCCCCTGCAAGGAAATCGGGAGATTTCAGAGTGGAAAACAGTAGGAAAGAAAGGAGGGAAGGAGATCTGGGTTCCAAAACAGCAAGCAGAACCCACCCCGGGCCCCATTGCCGAGCGGAGCACTCAAGAAGAGAAGTGTACAAAAGGTACCAGTGACCAGAATGGGACTGAAATTGCAATGGGGAAGTGCATAGGGGCAGGGGAGCCACCAACACAACCAGATACAACAAACAGCATCCCTAAAAGGTTGGAACAGGAGGGAACAGAAGAGCAGCGGGAGGGACACATGGAGACCCGGGGAATGGAGGTCATGTCGGAACAGCTAGAGGCGGAGAAGACCGGAATATTGACGATGACAGTAGGAGGGGACCAACCGGAGGACCAGACGGAAGGTACTGACCCCTTCCAAGCAGCCTTTAGTCTGGACCCTATGGATGTGGACCTTCTTCCGGACAAACACTAGCACATCACCAGAGGGGTTGGCCCTGGAGAGAGACCCGGAAGGCGAGGAGGAGGGAGCACCGCCGCTACATCTCCCCATGGAACAGAAATTGGTCGCCATTGCAGACTGGCTGATGGCCAATCTGAAAGCAAAACACGGCCCCCTTACTGATGATTTCTGGGATAGGACATACCTGGAACTATTCCCGATGCTGGATACGAACCCAGCACTCAAAAATGTGTTGGACAGGGGGCTGCAATCCGGAGTGAAGTGGACCGAAGCATGGCACAGATTGGCCACAATCGTATCTGCACGTTTTCAGACACCACAGGTGGCAGCTACAAAGGAAGCCAATCAGGATGGAAAATGTGTTGGAGAGGGGGCTGCAATCGGGAGTGAAGTGGACCGAAGCATGGCACAGATTGGCCACAATCGTATCTGCACGTTTTCAGACACCACAGGCGGCAGCTACAAAGGAAGCCAATCAGGATGGAGCCCAAGAGGTGACAGAGGAAGAAGGGACAAGGAAGGCCCAAGACCCCCCAGTTAGGCAGCAATCAGCCCTGCCGCCGGGCCCGGAACCCCCGGACCCGGACGAGAACGCATCACTGGATCTGGTGCGAAGAAGGAAGCTGAGGCAGCTAGTCGAGATGGGCTGTGATACCGCGCCCCTCTGTCGCAGGCGGCCATGTTATTCATTCCCGTATGGAAGAAAAATGAGAAATGGGAAGCGGGTCTGTCACTGGCAGAGAATGGCAGACAAGGGGGTGTCACGTTACAAGGCTGGTCGTCGTTTTGGGCGAATCCACAAAACAGCTCGTCTGAGGCAACGGCAGGAATTCTGCAAATGCAGCTTGAATCCCATATTGCAGAAACTTTACCGCCAGGGGCACAAGCCACGACTTTGATTACAAAAGGCCTCAGCAAGATCACGCAGAGGGACGTATACATACGTTTTGACCCAACTAAAGAAATAGCCTGAGATGGCACACCCACAGCCAGCTGCTAAACCTGCAAACGGTCAGGATCAG